ATCCAAATAATCATCTTTGATGCGTTGCTGCAAACCATGCATCACATTCTGCTACTGAAGTTCACGTAAGTCCTCGTTGTGGGTGACATCCATTGACCGAATATGTTTGATCGCTGACCTCCCTACAACCGAAGCAGTGGATATTCAGTTTATTGAATCCCCACGACCGCTAACAGTATACATTCAGACGTATACAGAGTACGCCATCCAAGCCTGGAGACCATGGTTACGTTATTGGAAGATGATGGAACCTCCAAAAATGATTGTCACGGAGATGGTCAAGGAATTAGATTGTCTCACTTACGGCGACGGATTACAAGCATTGGGACAATATTCTACTCATTAGCGCCGAATCAGACGAGGCTTAGTTTTGGTGAGCCAAACCTTGCAGAACTAATACCATCCATGTCGTCCGCTTCCCAATGTGTCGCCCAACATCCACCTTAAGGCATTGTCGTTAATTACTAAAAAGTGTCGACCGAAATGCCATCGTCTATCTTTTAAAGTCAGAGTGTGTACTCGCAAAGTTCTTCCGTCTCATGTCGTTTCTATGCCCACCGTTGAGTCTTTCAGGCGAAGAATTGATGAAACCCATCAGTTCAGTTCAGTTTGAACAGCCCATAACCATGAACTTTTGTGTGCCGGGTTTTGTCTGTTGTTGTTTCGTTGTACACTGGGATGAACAGCAGGAGAGTTACAAGAGGAATGAGGGTAAAATCTAAGAAAAAATTGAGAATTTCAGTGAATCAGTTAGCAACGAAATTGAGAAGATGCACGAACGAAATTGTTTACGACAATCAGACAAATCACTCACTGCATCTAACCATTGGTTACGACCATCCTGAGGTCCCCAGCCAAGAACCTATGTGACCTAGATTCCTGGTTAGGGTTTTCATATCCTCATTCCAGGTCTTAGCTTGACCACCCTGGGCTTTTTTCCACCCAATACCTGGATAGGCAAACATCAATCGCCGCGGCAACCTATCTGGTGACATGCGTAACACATGCCCCAACCACCGTAAATTATGGAGATCAACCAGGTGCTCCAATGGGCGACAGCGGTTACCTAAAACTCTGCGCCTAACCTCGGCATTGCACGTCCGCGGCCCCACTAGATTCGTGCAATGCTGCGTAGACAGCGGTGTTCAAACACCGACAGCCTTTCTTTATCCTGCCTCCTTAATGGCCAAGTTTCTGCACCGTATAGCAGAACTGGCCGAACTGTCGCGACATACACTCGACCCTTCACAGACAACCGGATGTCGCGACGGCACCACAAATGTCTAAAGCTGACAAATGCCAACCGAGTCTTCTGTATGCGAGCTGACACTTCATCTATGATGCATCCACCGGGTGAGATGTAGCTGCCCAAATAACAAAACCTATCCACCTGCTCTATTACTTCCCCAGTTAGAGTGAGGCTCAGCAGGAGTAATCGCTCTACACCGCCCCCGATGATTCGGTGACGTTTTGTGTACGCCTAGTAATCACCTATGGTTCCGTGCTCTCTTTGTACATCCTGGCTGAAACTGGGAGAGGCAATGTGGCGATTAGATAATGACCTAGCATAGCAGTATGAAGAAGTTGGCCTCAGCATTGACTTCGATTGGTGCAGCTGGCACTCAAGGCCGGGCCCCAAGAGATGAGAACTACGGATGGCTAGAGACACTGAAAAATATGGCTCAGAATAGAAGTCAGTAGCGCGATTGTTGTGCAGTGTTTATTAAAATTCCATATACCATTAAGGACAAAAACCGTCAAAATGTGCAGGGTGGAACTAACGAAAAATGCCTTTTTCCTGTTCACCGTTTTCATTTCGCTCATCTGTATTCAAAGCTATCAACTGAATTATCAATTCTGTTGTGTTGGCATCATGCTTACCTCTAACCCGGTATGAAACAATTAGCATGAGATCATTGAAAAATGTTATACATAGTATTAATAATTTTGAACATCGGTGCATGTGATAACTTACAAATTGGGTTGCATCGCTTGAATTGAAGAGATTATTTGATTAGTCAAATTATTCAACTGATTACAATCGGAGGATTTCCCATCGACCAAACTGGATTCCACAGTAGTGCTTCTAGGAGATAAGGAGTTGACACTAGGGTCCATATTTAGTCCACCGGACTCCAACAGTTGGGTAGAACGCTGAAAGATACGTAGGCATAGACCGGCGGTCGACTCGGGTTGTATCGCGTCATCATTCAGCAGATCTGACTGTTCTGATCGTTTCACTAGAGTTGTGTCACACACCGCGGGACAGCGGAGCACTTTGCACCCAAGAGCAAACAATGCTCCAGTCGATCGGATCAATCTAAATATGTTTTTGGGAAAATTTTTGGGAGAGGAGGCAATAAATTTAGTCAGTTCACTGAAATATTCAACAAAATTAAGTGAATTAGGATCGAAGCAGGATATGAACTACTTCATCTTACAATCACATATTGGCGGATGAATTACGTAGAACAGAACAGATTGGCGAACAAGGTTGGTGGCGGTTATCCGTAATCATACAAAATCATCGCAACTTCATCATTAATTAAGGGGGGAATTGTCATGAGGAAGGAAAACGTCATAGTAACGGTTAGTACCCTAGTCGGTCGTCNGGTCGTCTCGTTTTGCGTATAGTCACTTCCACGGAACGCCAGATAACCATTCGAGCGGAGAAGCATTTGACAACGTTTTCTGTTGCCCAGATCAATCGACAGACGGTGTTACTCTGACCAAATTATTTTATTCAAGTTGACGGCGGTTTTAGATTCGGACTACACATCCCCGAGTGACCAATCCAACTACCAAATTCAGTCAAAAAACTGACAACCAGCACAGTGAAACAGTTCTCAACAAGCGCAAAAAACTAGACGTGGGAATGCATGAAATTCCAGGCTAGAGCCGAAAACGAAAACTCACGTGTGAAAATTCAATTGATCACCATCGCGAACTGATTGGGCCTATTGAAAAATTAAACCACAAACGTATTTGTTAAAGACATTTCGTGAACATACGATATTTAAGTTGGCCTCGTATACAGTGTGCGAAATATTAGAATGGTAAAATGGCTATTCATCACGCTTCTTCACACTGCGTCGTAACGCAGTTATTTCGTAGGTTTATGAATAAAAGCAGTGAAAAATGTGCCCATAGAAATGTAATGGCGCACCTATTGTTGACCGTATTAAAGGTGCTTCTAATTCACCGATCCAGACTGCGGGACTTAGTTTCTTCTACTGACTTTTGTGTTCTTCCATAACCAGCTGTCTTCTTCTTGTGAACACCTTACTGATTATCTTAATTTTTGCTATGACCAATGCTGCCCTGTTGAAACTATTTATATTCGAACCGATAGGTTTTCCTCCCCCTGCTTAAGCGAATTCGTCGTGCTAAAGAGACGGCATATATGGCCGGCAGGCGTAACAGTGTCAAAGAGCTCTCTGTGCTGATTAGAGCAGAAGTAAGTCGCCCGAACGGAATGTACGTCGAGACTGTTTTGGGCAACAAAAACTTTCGTGAGATGTGGACTACCTTGTGGAAACTGTGGCTCACGCATCAGTTCTTGTCCCAACGTTGAGGTACTTAACCGTCAATTTGCTTCTGTACCTGCATCTAGCTCCCTCCCACCTCCTTTTCCTACCCGTGAGGCAATTAACCCTGTTTCTCCGGACGCGGTCCTCCAAGTTTTGAGGAGAATCAAGGCCAATAAAGCTCATGATCCCGATGGATTAGCACCTCATTTGTTGAAAGTCTGCGCCGACCAGCTTGTGACACCTATTGCCGAATTTTTCAGTACTTGTTTGTCATCTGGAACCATCCCCGATTGGTGGAGGTCAGCCCGGATCAGACCAATCCCAAAGAAAGGATCGTCAAAGTATCGTCCCATTACCTGCACATCTGTGTTGCTGAAGGCTTTTGAAAACGTTTTGCTCCACCACATGGTACCTCATTGTAACTCCCATAACCCTTTACAATTTGCTTATAAACCGCATTTATCCACAATTGACGCCGTTGCTCATATCGTTCACTCTGTTGCTTCCGTCTTAGACAATGGCGCTGATACCACTCGTGTAACCTTTTTGATTATACGAACGCTTTTGGTTCTCTCGACCAAAGTGTGCTTATTGATCGTCTTTCTGAGTGTGGTCTAACTCCTGAAGTCTTGAATGCACTAATCAACTACTTCTCCCGTAGGACTCAATGGTGTACAATCTTCTTCTATTAACATTGAAGCCGGTGTTTTTCAGGATGCCATTTTGTCCCCTTCCTAGTTTTCCATGTATATACAAAATCTGCCCATTCCCACCAACTTTATTGCTTGTAAGTATGCTGATGGTATTGTGATTGGTTGCCCAGCCCTTATTTCAGACAGTTTCCGCCCTCTCCAGGACAGTCTTAATGAACTTCACGATTGGTCTGTGACCCGATCCCTTGAACTTAACGTCAGTAAGTGCGTCGGAGTTCCATTTAGTCTTAAAACCGGTCCCCGTTATCTTTCATTAGTTAATAATCTCCCTGATCTCAGAATTAACAATCAAAGCATTCCCAAATCTGCATCTGGTAAATACCTTGGTGTCACCCTTACCCATAACCTGTCGTGGTCTGCTCATGTCATCAACGTTTTCACAAAAGATCGAAAACTGTCCCTCTATGCTCACAGACTCAGGAAGCTGGCCGTACCACATAATCTTATTCTTAAATTTGTAATTGTCTGCATTCTTCCACACTGGCTATACTGCTCCCCGATTTTTATCCCTGGACTGAAAGAAAAAGACTTCTTTATTTTCAAGATCCCTTAAACTTTTGTCCCGCTACAGTGGAGATGATAGAGTTGTTTTAGTTGATTTCTTTATTTCCAAGCATCTTGACGCTTGTGATACATTCATTGACAGGATAACGCGTGATCAAGGGCACTGTCTGCACCAAGATATCGCAAAATCCCTGTCAACTCCCCGGACACGCTCCAAATATCAACTCCTTCCTGCGCGGACTTCCATATATAGAGATAGTGTAACTCCATATCTAGCTCGGTTACTAGTTAATCGTCAGAATACTCTCACCCACCTCAGGAAAAAACTCTTGCACTAATTTTTTCTCTCATTTATTAAAGTGCAGAATTTCTCATACTATTTTTTTATTTACAATTATTTTACCTATCCACCGTAAAATTCGTGAACTGCTGAAAATTCACCTTTTGGGTGCATAAAGCTTTTCTTGACTAACTGATAACCACAAACGTACGTTACGTAACCTAATAAATCAAAATGCGGTTCAGTCCGTTGTCGCTAGTGGTAGTAGTATACGGTAATCAAATTCTGCGCAAGATATTGAAGTTTGCTATTTTCCCGACCTATGGAAAATCTCTAGATTCAATTCAATGCTAGAAATGTCTACGTTTCTTGACAACCGTAATAAATAATGATGTGATTTAATAAATTGGGACTGCATTTTGACCCAGGGGTAACGCTGCAGCGTCACGTCCAACACGCAGCGCACTGCTCGACCGACTAGTCGGTCCCCAGCTGGGATAAACGTACGTTGCAACTACTTATGTGCTTAATAAAAGTTCGTTCATACAAACGAAAATCCTATTTCTAAATGACCAGCACAGACTTGAGATATTCCACAAAAATTACTCATTTTGTTCCGATAATTTTGAATATACCATTCATTCATCAAAGCTTCCTAATTTCTCTCATTTCTAAGAGAAACGGAGGTGGACTAGCAAGATGCTATCCAACTTGCCATTCCATTTGAGTGTGTTCATGTTTGACTGAACCTTTTGGTTCATGGTGTCTGCATTTTCCTCTCTTTTAGATTGCCAATCGAACCGCACTCCACTAATGTCCCTTGCTACCGCTCACACGGTCCCGCCTTGCCCTCTACTAAACCTAAAATCGTTGATAGACATACTTAAATGCGTTTCTAACAACTGCCTTAGCCTCCCAACGAAACTAATAGAATTAAAGCAACTTGCTGTGGAGCACTGTCTTTTTTGTTTGAAATTGGCTCAATCCAGCCAATGCAAAAATCGTAAACTGCTAAGAATTCACCCTTTGGATGCATAAAGATTTACTTGACTTGACTGACTGAATTATCCTCACAACGGATTATATCCTAATCAAAAACACGTTCACATGTACTCCCATCACCTCGAAAACCGAAATCCTTGTACGTACCTACTCGTCTAGATGGAATAGGTAGAGGGAAATTAGGACTGATTGGCAACCCTGGACCGCACAATGTCCGCGAAAATGTCTGCTTCATCATTGGTGCACGTAAACATACAGTCTTGCGGGGTGGCCACTTCACAAGCACTGATAATTTCACCTCGGCTGGTGATGAAACGTTTGCAAACAACTCGCGAAGCTCGGCGAACAGGCGAAATGGTTTTATCGTCTCAACATGTTTATATATTTTTGTTAAAAATTTTCGCCGTATTTTTTCGTGCTGTGTAGTGTGATAGGATAGCACAAGGGTAGCACAAATCAGTCTGACCCCTTCTATTTTAAACTACATAATTTCCACCACGGTCAGTGATGTTCGCCTGCAGTCGAAGATTAGTTCCCGATCTGCTTACATTCCCTGTATTCAATGCGAACAGAGTAAGTTTCATCGGCGTAATCCATCATCCGGAAAGGTTATATTACTTGAAGTCTTGTGTTTGTTTTCTCTAGAACCTTCACCCTCCTATCTATAAGCCATTTAACCGACAGCAGCTACCGGTTAAATTCAGTTTTAGACAAAACCTACGAGCAGCTACGCCACACGTAAAATATCTAAAGACCAGAAATGCTACTAGCGTCGAACATCATTCCCATTTCATCCAACGTAAAATCATACGTTATGGTTCGTCTTCCTTTGGGTAGTTGCTCGACAACCGAGATAGGAAATGAAGAGGAAGAGGGGCTAGGATGTCGTAAGGAGACAAGGAAAGATCTAAGTCACCCATTACTGAGATTGAAGTAATTAATTGCGCGTTTATTTATTCGGCTACGATATCGTGTCTTGCCGTAACCGATGATAACTCTGAGCCCAGTCAATTAGAAAATTTACCAAAACTCTTGAGATCGACTAAGTTCGAGGCCCCGGGTCGATACAGATAACTACCACCTGTTCCAAAACATAGTGCCCGCGCCCCATTGGACGTGATGTCGACATTGTTCGAGAAATCTGTGCGATCACATGTGCTTCTTGAGAGCTGGAGAACACTCGCCATTATTGCCGCATCTTGACACTCTAAATCCACCATTGGTCCAAGGCTTTCGCCTCATAACCCTCAGATTACCCGGTCTTAAGCTCATACAGAGTGTTATTCTTAACCGACTATAATCTCGTATATTGATTCCTTCCAATCTACCGGTAAAACAACAGAAGTATTCCGGATATTGTACCTTTGGTTTTCCATTGTATAATAAGATCCTTATTTTTTCTCTGAAATCTGTTCGATATCTATATCATTCACAGCGGATGGTGCTGTTTGTAATAAAAGTAGCTCTACTTGTTACGACACAGAACGCTTCAGGCCGCGCACGGATCTCCGTCACGTCACAAACAATTCAGACTGTTCTTCTGTGTTAAAATCCAAGTGAACGAACTACGATCGTGTTTAATTGATCATCAATTATTCCGCACCCACTTTTGATTCATTTGTTCCCTAGTTTTGTCAAAGAATAAACCAACTCGAAAATTCCTCAGTGGTTGCTTATGCCACACACACTTCCGTGTTACCCTGCGAAAGACCAGCTGGATAACTTGTAATATTACTAAGTAGTGACCGAGTTGCTACTGGGCGCACTCTAACAACGAACAGAAGGGGAGAGCCTAGACAGCCATCTATAATTCTGAAACGTGAATACGTGACCAACGCAAAGCCAAAAGACAGACGGAGCTGCTCACCATCGAATACGGCTTTAATGTTTAATGAATACTGTTCGGGATCACTGATCCTAAAACAACATTCAGCATCGGTTTGCGAATGATTCACAATTTAAGAGCAAAAGACAATAGCGTCGATCAACGCACACTAGACGAGAGGGGTAAAAGTCGAAATCAGACACAAACAAAGCTATTATTCGTGTGAGTTAGTGAATGAAATGCAAACTTCTAAGCAGGTGGTTTACCGCGCCAACTGATGATAAAAGAGTAAGCAACTTGTTCCACCTCCAGTATGACCTCCTATCACATCACAGACTATGATAGTAATAGAACTCATTGAGTGTCAAACAAAAAATAGAACAATCAAATGCTGTAAGAAGAAAACAGCTGAAAGAAATAGTTACATTTCATCTTTTCAGGTTAGGGAGGGACATAAAGAGCGATGTAGAAACCCAATAGCAAAAACGATAGGTCAAACAGTGCCATTGCCCATTCCTTGAACAGACAACAAAAAGGGGGAACAATAGACTTTTAAAAAAAATATCCCAGGTTTAATCATACTGAATGACTGCAACCGTAATAAACAGATGAAAAAATGCTAAAATACAGTTATGAGGACAAGTCCACAGGGTCCTTCTTAAATTCCATGGTAACTCAACGAAGTTGGTTTCGTCCACCCCTAAACCTCATTTATTTCAGATCAGGTGGAGTATGCAAGCAAAAAAGCGATAGTTCTTAAATAAGAAATCAATGGAATAGTATGCAATGGGTAGTGCGAAATACAACCAGCCTCTGGTAGAAACAGTCATCGAGGAGATAAAAATGCGAACCCAGTGAGCAAACAAAAGGCTATACAACGGAGTGGGAACGGATGAACTAACCGTATCCTTTTGCAAATGATTTGCGACTAGAGTCGGCAAATGAGTTGCTTTAAATTGTTTTCCATCTACAACGGAAATCGGTCTCCTCAGAGAGGACAGAACTGAATGAAGTTGATGCAGCTGAGAGGCGTGTGCGGT